TTAAGATACAATTATTTTGGTAGTATTAAAATACATGTAGCTTTAAAATTTATGGGCGTTCTAAATCAAAATCCCATAAGGTTTAACATCCAAAAGTACTTTTTATCCCCACCACTACCTCCTTCTTACCACGCACATTTTTTAAATTCATCTGATGAGCGATAGATGGCGCGAGTTATAGGTGCCCTCCAAGAGTAAATGCTAAATAAGCATTTCCAAAAAGTATATAATCCCGAGCGTAATTACGAAACAGAGACTAAGCTATCATCGCGACGTCGCCGCACTTCGTAAAATTCGAAACTTAGATTTAATATAAACAAGTTAATTTACAATTATAAAATAAATAGCAAACTTAAACTTTTGTAACTTAGTTTTTAATAAAATAAACTTTTAAAAAAAACAAAATTCTNCTTTCAGATTCTGTAAACAAATGCATATGGTGCCATTTAAAAAAAATTTCGATGACGTCATAACTCATAAAAAAATGATTATCAGGAAGTGAATATGGTGTCATAATGTGTGTTATGTTAACCAAAATTGACCCGTTTCGGCATTCTTGCAAAAAAAATTTGTTATCAATTTATTGAATATGTTCCAGAATTTTGCCGCGCACTGTATATATTCCGTTAAGTTACACCACCGAAACCTTTTTTATATTAATTGTATCTTAATTCTATAACGTCGCATGAATTTTTTTAAATTTACGCGCGCCATCTATCGCCCATCAGGCCACCGCTAGGTGGGCGCGCGTCGTCTATCCACCATGCGAGTTCCACCGCTAGGTGGAGCCCCATGACGCTACTTCCACCATCCACCGCTAGGTGGCGTCCCATGAAGTAGGCAACCAACATAGCGTTAGTTCCACCACCCACCGCTAGGTTAGTTCCGCTATCCGCCGCTAAGTGGTGCCCCACGAGCCAGGCAACCAACATGACATGCTTTTAGTTTCACTACACACCACCAGATGGCGCCACGTGCATTTTGAATTTCCGCGCTGTGACGTCACTTCCTGCGCGCGCATGCGCAGACGTCACAGGGGGATTGGGGGATTAACGTCCGCTCCAGAACTCTCATTTTTATACTACTGAGTTGTTCTAGTAAAAATAATAGCTGTTCCAGATTGCGTTAGCTATAATAAGTATATATTTGTAATATGGAATTGATAATAGAAAAACTATGGTCACAGCAATCAACTAGACATTTCGGCGGCCAAACCTATTTTTAGTTATAACTTCGTAATGCTGTAACCCATAATTTTGATTTTCTAGAACAATAACTAGCACAACTAGAACAACCCAGAACAACAAAGAAATATTCATTTTTCCTAAAATGGGGGGGTAGTAAAAAACCCGTTTTTTCGGTTTTCTCGCGGAGTTTTTATTTTTTCGATTTGCCCCCCCAGGGGGGCTGCAGTCATTCAGATACACCCTGTATATATAAAAGTTTGTAATACATAAACCAAATTGATAAATGAAAATTAAAATTAAATATAAAAAAAACTGATGATTGAAATTGGAAAATGTGAATATGAAAATTAAATTATTCCAAATCAGAAAGCCAAAGCAAAAAAGAATATATACATTTCCGTATTCGTCTGATAAAATTAAATTTAATTTAGAACGAATTTTTATGAATCGAAAAGAAAAAAAAATTCCAATTAAAATTTTACAAAGGAAGATAATCAAGAGATTAATGAATTTAATAATAATAAAAAAAAATGAAACAAAGATAATTTAAATTAAATTTCCAAAATAGTAAATTGTTTCTTGAATGTTTTATAACAAAACTTAACGTCTGACCTTTTCCCTGAATAAGATTACCATAAAGAATCTCCAGATGACTATCCAGGGAGAACTTAAGGTAGGATATTTCTGATAACTTATTTTGGAGATTTTTAGGTGACTGAATGACCTCGTGATTTTATTCCCCACTAGGTGGATGAAGAAAATTTTCTTAATTAAGAAAAAAATCCAATAGTTTTAAGTTTTTTTTTTTTTTTAATAGCATGAAAGGTTTTGAATGAAATCTAATGTATGAAAGAATGAATGAATGAAAATTTGTAAGAAAATTAATTTTAACGTACCTCGTGGATGTTCTGAGGCTATCAAACAATTTTTTTTCTTTGCAGTACAACTAAATCCAGAATAAACTTCTGTTACCAAAATCACAAACGATTAATTATGATTTAATATTATAACATGCGTGATTCTCCCAAAATTTTTGGATTAATAATCTCGACTAAACTTCTCAAAAATCAAATTTTCAAAATGTCGACGACTAATTTTTCCACGATGTTACACGTTATACCGCTGAATGACGAAAGAGAGATAAATTTTGTCGTGTTTTCGTTTTATAACTTAAAAAAAAAACTCATATTACCAAAAAAGTGGTACATTATACTTTTCCCTAAAATCTCCTTCTATTTTCGTTCTTTATTCTGATATTACTTAAAAAAAGTTTTAACTAAGTTAACCGAATTCCTATTTTATCCCCAATTGATCCTCAAAAAAATTCTTTAAAATATGAAAAATTAAATTCCTAAATCAATCAACCCCATCTACCTTTTAAAATCTTAAAAATGTTTAGAAAATAAGAAGGAAAGGTGGTAAAGGAAAGTTCTTCCTAGATGGCTCTGTAAAAAAAAAAACAAAACAAATCCCGAAACAAAAGTTTGCCATTCTTGAACGTCAACCAAACAAAACGTAACACGGTTATTGATTGTCATGCTCCATTTAGAAGACACAGATTTACTAGACCCGCAGCCCCTTGGATTACGCCGACTGTTAAGGAGATGCAGAGACTTAGGGATAAAGCCTTTAACACGTCGACTGTAGTGTGTATCAAAACTGAATCGGCAAAGTTTGAGTTATTTTAGATTGTTCTATGTTTTTTAATTCTTATTGTGTAATATAAAACCGCTGACACAAGAATTACTGACTGAAACTTCCAAAAACTTTAATTTTCAAAGAGTAAAGTGCCCTTTAGAGAGTTGTTCAAGTGAAAATAATAGCTGTTCCAGATTGCGTTAGCTATAATAAGTATATATTTGTAATATGGAATTGATAATAGAAAAACTATGGTCACAGCAATCAACTAGATATTCCGGCGGCCAAACCTATTTTTAGTTATAACTTCGTAATGGTGTATCTCATAATTTTGATTTTCTAGAACAATAACTAGAACAACCCAGAACAACAAAGAAAATTTCATTTTTCCAAAAATGGGGGGCTAGTCAAAAAACCCGTTTTTTCGGTTTTCTCGCGGAGTTTTTATTTTTTCGATTTGCCGCTTTGGAAAAATGTAGAACAACTCTAGAAGAATAAAAAAAATTAAAAATCAAAAATGGGGGCTAACTTCCCGCACTCGCTGTAAAGGGCATTTCTACAGAATCAGCAACGAAAATTTATAAAAGTATATCTCGACCGCTGCTAGATTACGGACATATAGCAACACTATGCTCACCAAACTCAACCAAGACTATAATGCAGAAAGCTGAAAGATGTTTAAGAATATTAACAAAAATCAGACACCCAAACAATCCTCTTCATAATATACGTAACGAGGTTTTATACTCAAGGACTAAAATCCAACCAATGTGAGAAGGACACAAAAGGTTGAAGACAAAATTTATTAAGAAAACTATACTCGTCGCCCTGGATCAACTGTGTCAAATACGCGGGCATAAAGGAGAACCTTTTTCACCGTACGAACTATTGAAGCGTTAAACATAATTAATATACAGTGTGTCCCCGGATAGGTGAAACGACTCTTATAAAATGTAAATTTTTTTCGATATTAATTGTCATCTTTTGGGGTTCAGCCCTGCTTAGTTAAAGACTAATTTTAAACATATTTTCAAGCTTTAAAAGTTTAAGTGAGTGTTGACACTGAAGCGAAAACTTCTTGTGTGTCAGGTAAAGTACCTTTTCTGTTTACAGTATGGTAAAATGTTACTAAGAAATTTTATTCAGAATAAAAAGTTATAACCATATGCAAATTTTCGGAATCATCGGCCTACTTTATAAGATTAGATACTTTATTAAGATTTTTTGTTTTGAGATTTAAATTGTTCGGGAGAAATAAACAAACCGTTGTTAAAATGTTCACAAAAAATTAATTGTGTGTTCGCCCACAAAAGAAAACAGTTAATCATAATTAACAGTTAATCAGTTTCATCATAACTTTTTTTAGAGTGAATACTTCCTGCTGTAAGAAATCTTTTGATTAAACGAAAACAAGTACTTCTTTTATTTCCAGTATTTGAAAATTTTCCACTAAATAAAGCAATAGCCATATTTATCGGTTTTCCCCGGTTTCATAACATTGAATCACGTAAACTTTTTCCTCTAATGTTAACATTGTATTTAAAAAACACTTTAAATTTACTAAATTACAGTTTGGCAGATTAACGTTGACAGGAAAGCAATTTTGTTTTTCCATGGCAGTCTTTTTAGAAATAAAATTGTGTGATATGGATTTTTACCAAAGTAGGCCGATCATTCCGAAAATTTGCATATGGCCATAGTTTTTCATTCTGAACAAAATTTCTTAGTAACACTTTCACGTACTGTAAACAGAAAAGGCACTTTACCTGCCACAAAAAAAGTTTTTCTTTCACTGTCAAGACTCACTTGTTTTTTAAAAATTGAAAATATGTTCAAAATTAGTCTTTCATCAAGCAGGGCTAAACCCCAAAAAATTACAGTTAATATCGAAAAAATTTTACCTTTTATAAGAGTCGTTTCACCTATCCGGGGACACACTGTATATGTTAAGTTATATACTTAATAACATAGAATTGTCCACAGTAAGCGGAAAGACCCAATACTGAGTCGATAGCTTAAATAAAGATATTATTATTATATTATAAATAAATTACTCAAATGGTGTTTTAAGTTAAGTGATTTAAATCGGACAAACCTTGCTATAAATACAATTTTTATATTTGGATTTCGGATAAGGTACAATTATTTGTTTTTGTTTAAAATAAAACAACAAAATTGTGACTAAAAATTTTATCAATTTATTACAGGTTTTTTCAACTTAAAGCACACTGCTGAGGATTTTTCGTAACATAAAAAATAAGTATGTCCTACCTGCATAAAATACGAAAATGAGACAAACACGGTAATAACGTTTTCATTTATAATTTTTTTTCCTAATTCTCTTCATTCATTTGATTTTCGTTTGTCGTCGGTTCGCAAAAAGCAAAAGCTGAAAGGAGAGACAGTAAGAGACGAATAGGTTCAGTAGTATTGCAACACAATCGTACATTAACTTTTTTTTTTAGCGTCATCACATATGATATAATATCGTATATATTATATATATTATTAATAAATTCTATACATTCACTAGGGGTGCAAGATACAATAATAAAATATATTAAATATAGTAATAATCATAATAAAAAAAAATTCGTTCAATGAAGAAATGTCAACGGCTTAAACATTTAACTGAAATAAAAAGAAAACCACCATTAATTAATTAATGCTTGTGTCAATAATATTTAAAAAATGACTTACTTCTTTTTCAGTGTCAAAAAGCTTTTTCGCTTTTTATCGTCCTTTTGTCCGGACGCGGGCAGCGTTTGCGATCGCGATGGTCCTGCAGAACCAGCTTCCTGCAGTACCGAAATTCTACCGACCCATTGATTCATTTCAGCATCATCGTGAGCCTGGAATAAGAAATCGGCTCCATTTTCCAGTTTCAATCGGAACACGTGCTTTCTCTTCTTATAATCGGAAGCGACAATCGCTGAAGCTCCGGTTAAATTCAATGGCTGTTCTCCCTTCAACATCTGATCGGGTTGTGTTTTGGCCGTTTTCGCATCCTTGTAGAAATGTAACTGGGTGCCTTTCAGCACGCAGTACATCGTCGTCCAGGAGCGATTTGTAGACTTGGTGGTCGTGTTGGCCCATTCATGTTTACGAGTCAACAGACCTTCTAATTCAGGCTCTTCATCAGGACTAGCTTGTTCTAAATTTTAGAAGTTTATTTGAGTCAAATTTTAAATCTGGCAGGAATGATAAAGAAGTAATTGAAAGGATAAAAGGGACAATTTAACGATTATATTAACGTGGACTCTACTGCACATAACAAAGAAGCTCGAACCCTGATCGTAATATACCTGAGGAATAGTGCACGGCTTCGTCATCACTAGCCCCGGAAGACTGCTTGTGACCTTTCTTCCACCGGAAACTCCGGAATGGAGATTTGCTGCGAGAGCGATCTTTCCTGCGAGCCTCCTTTTCAACTGTTGCTGGTCTTGGCGCTTTAACAACACAAATAAGCAAAAACGAACACGCATGCAATGCCTTCAATTCAAAGGATTTACAAAATGTATAATGGAAAGGAAATAACAATTTAAACAAAACTTGGAACAAAGTAAAGGATAAAATGTCGATAATATTGTAGATCCCTGGTAATTTAGAGATTAATGCAACTATTCTGTGATTTTAGGATTCTCCATTTTGCTGCCCGAGTATTACATACTTTTATGATATAAAAATAAAATCTGAGGAAATCAATACTATGGTTTGATCTACGGAAAGCATAGATACCATAGTCCGTTTCTTCAATATTTGGATTTTACAATGTTGTTAGAAATAAAGGATTTTGATGAAAAATTTATTTATTTTTCATAAATTTTATTTTTTAAATATATTTTGCAAAAAAAGAAGAAATGTATGTTATTCCGAAATGTTACATACAACTAAAAAACATTAAAAATTTTCACTTCTTAATTGGTTTTGGGTTATTTGGCCAAAAAAGTTCTCATAATACATTTTATCGACTGCAGGCATCTAATTATACAGGGCTTCCCAAAACTCCCGGGACGGAGCTATAAGTTTTGAACGAGTGAGAAAAAAATATGAAGATTTGGGGATTACTAAATAGTCATAAAAACTAAGAACTTCCACGCAAAGTGGAGAATAAAATGTTTTCATGTTTCCGCAATCTTTTTCGGTCCCGCAATGACCCAAACACTATTAAATAGAATTTTGAACCATCAGGAGCATATTCCTAGTGATATTGGTGGTTTCTTCACGTTCCTTATTAAAAGGTACATGAAATTGGTAAAGTTCTGTCCATAAAATTTTAAAAAGAAATAATTATTTCCCCTATAAGTTTCACCTAGTTCAGGAATTGAACGAAGGTGACTTCGAAAGAAGGTTGGAATTCTGTGAAATAGTACGTGAAAAATGTGATGTTGACAAAAATATTCTTTTGAATGTTATTTTCTCGGATGAGGCTACTTTCCACTTGAATGGTAAGGTTAATAGGCACAATTGTCGTTATTGGAGTAACGAAAATCTACGTTTAATAAGAGATGATCATACTTAGAAACCGCGGAAAATTAATGTATTGGCTGGTATTATGGGAGAGAATGTAATTAGTCCATTGTTTATTCATTGAAATTTGGACGGAGACAGATATCTGCAACTGTTAGAAAATCAAGTGGTTCCAAGTGTACGTGCGTATGCCCTAATGGTATTGACAACAAGATGGTGCTCCTCCACATTTTAGTCGCGCAGTCCGAGACGTTTTAAGCTACACCTTTCCAAACCGTTGGATTGGTAGAAGAGGTGAAATTGAGTGACCACCATGATCTCCTGATCTAACACCACTCGAGTAAAAAAAAGTAGAGTGTATGCAACAAAACCAGAATCAATAAATGAATTGGAAAATCGCATACTTGAAGAAACCACCAATATCACTAGGGATATGCTCCTGATGGTTCAAAATTCCATTTATGAGCGTTTGGATCATTGCGAGACCGAAGAAGGTCGACAATTTGAACATTTGTTATAAAAATCGTAATAAACGTGCAAGAAAACATCAAAACATTTTATTTTCTCATTTGGTAGTCAACCCCTCATAATTCTTGAAATAATTAAGATATCGGGTTTTGGTTTATGAGATTATTTCTTTTTTCATTACCTTTAAAATAAGGTAAAACTCGACAGCGGTTGCTATTTAAAAATGTAGGGATGGTCATCTCCTAAAAAACTCCACATTGTATGGAAGTTCTAAACTATTTAAGAATGTTCCCCAAATTTTCAAATTATTTTCTTAACTCGTTCAAAACTTATAGCTCCGTCCCGGGAGTTTTGGGAAGCCCTGTATACAGACTGAATGGCAGCTTCCGTGAAATCAGACCAAATTGCACAGTATACAGTCTTAGTATCGTTAAATGATACAAATTTTTGACATCTACCTTTGACAATCTATATCTTTCCAGCTTATTCTTTGCACAATCTGTCATAATCCATGTCTCGCATCCATAATACAGTATAGGTCTAATGATGGTTTAAAGGGGAAACTTTAGATCAAAAAATCATTTTTTTTATTCATCTTTATCGATAGTAGTTACATACGAAAATATGCAACCAAAGTTTTATGTCAAAATTCGAAGTTCTTTTTCAGTTACAGCCGCTGAAAGACCACGCGTACATAAGTACAAGCCCAAAAGTTTACGAATTTCAAGCTGCGCGCATTTCAAGACAACAACACCGTAGCTTTAGTAGCACAAAAGAAGCTCGTAAGGCCCGTAGAGCTGATCTAATTTCTCAAAACCAGTTTTTCGAACAAGCTGACGGGTAGTTGTATGGACCAATTAGCTGATTAGCGTACGACAGCGGTAAAATTTAAAAAATAGCAACCCTTTTTTGAAAAAACTTTAAACGCGATTTTCTTGAAACTGCATTATTTGATATTGCATACACGATTTTATTTGAAAGCGTATTAGTATAGCTTATACTTTGAACTAAAAAGATGTAAGATTAAAAATAAAAAAAATTGTCCATTTTTTTTCATCATGTAATTTTCGATCGCCTAAATCAGCTTCCCTTAATAGACTGTAATTTTTGAACAGCTTGAATACAGCTTTGGAGAGGAATACATTTGATAGAGCAAAGTAAGTTCTGTTCGCGGTCGTTATTCTACTTTATATTTGTGATTCCTCCGCTCCTTCTGCATTGAGTTTGACTCCCAGGTTCGTAAAACTCCTCACTTTTTCAACATTTTCCTCGACTATAATGTGGTTTACATTCCTATTTGTGCTCGATTGGGTTAATATCTTCGTCATTTGCTTATTGATTTAAAGACAGATCTTCTTGGCTTCTCTTTTACGTTCTATGTATATATCTGCCGTGTCATCTGTCCTGCGAAGCATGATGTTAATATTGTAGGCATTTGTACGGATCTATTTATTAACAAATTAGTTCTCCCGGTATTCATTTGGAGTATTACGTATTGAGATATCAAATTAAACAACGACTTCGTTTTAGACCTTTGTTTATATCGAATACGTCAGTTAGGTCATATTCTGTGTTCGAACTGTCGCTACTGTTGAATTCATTGTAGCCCTTATTAACCGGTTTATATTAGGAAACAATGCGGAGGCTATGTAGTATCTGGTGGAGTCATATGCCTGCTTGAAATCCACGAAAACATTGTATACATCTATGACCTGTTCCCAGATCTTGTTCAGAATTTGTTTCACTGCAGATAGATAAGAATAGCAGATCGTTTTTGGGGCGCACTTTTCTAAAACCAGCTTGATATTCGCCTATTAAGTTTTCTGCGATGGAAGCGCTTGTTAAATATATGGATGAAGATTTTGTAGGCTGTAGATGGTAGTGTTATGCCAAGATAATTTTCACAGGTTAGTTTGTGTCCCTTTTAGTAGACTGGACAGATAATTCCTGTTTTTGAATCGGGTGGGATGTTCTCTTCTCTGCATATTTCGGAGAATAGCGTATTTTAGAGCATCCATCATACTTGGTAAATTTTTTTTCTGCAATGCACTGCTGTAGTTGATTCTCAAAGTTCCTCATCTCCTTCTCACACAGGTCGATGTCAATTTCCTAACTTGTGCTGTCATAGCTTTTTTCAACACTTCAGATTTCTAGGTTTACATACGCCAGAACAGTTCAAATGAAAATGAGCCTCATCGGTCATCATTATTACTGTGGTTCATCAGCAAAAATCATTTGCATTCTTTCAACAAACTGCTGGCGTTGTGCAAAATACCCTTCTTGCAGTTGCTAGATAACCATAAGCTTATAGGGTGAAACCGAAAGTCTTTGAAACAGAGCGCTGCGGACTTACAATTACTGCTTGTCTCACCCTTTCTGCGGACGCAGGTGTCCACTTCGAGGACGACCTTCGAGCTTTTGATTCATTGCTGATGCGGTCGTTCTAAAATGTTGTACCCATCTGATTCCGTCACATTTCGGAACTGAAACCGTCGCACGACAATAACAGACTCGGCCGATTTTAGATATTCCTCAACTGCGAACGCACGATGCTCTGTTATCCAGATAACCATTGTGACTTATAAAAGGATCACGTTAGTTGTGACACCTTAGCTAATTAATCAATTTAATTTATTTTCAGAACTTATTTGAATAATTTCACTTTTTCATTGTTAAATGGTAACATCTAAACTATAAATAAACTTTTTTTCAATTAAACAACAGCTGATTCTCATTTCTAAAACGTCCTTCGATTCTGCCCCACTCTGTACATTCTGGCTTTATTGTTAAAAACTGCTGTGTTCTAACAATAAATGTAGTACAATACCCTACAGTATACTGTTTAGCTAATCACGTGAAAGATCAAAACAGGCGACTTTATGACTGACCCGAAAATTATGGATCTACTATATAAAGAAAAGGGAAAAAGAGGGAAAAAATACAAGAAGGATTCTCGTTTATAACAACAAAAAAGAAAGCCAAACTACATAACTTAGCATCTACTTTCGTGCAAAAAAGCTTTGTTGGGTTTTCTTTACATTTAGAATAGTTTCCTAAAGACTAATCATAGACGTTTCAATTTACCAACATTTTTAAGCAAATTTTTTACATAAAAACTGTTTCAAGTACATATAATTAACTTACTCTCCATTGCTAACGTTACGGAAGGTAAATAAAACGTCATATACTCACTGGTGGCCGTTTTAGCTTGCATTACGGTTGAAGAACCAGCCGATGTCACCCTTTCCTGTTGTTCCTGTTCTCTACCGCTTTCCCCCGCACCAACGGGTGGTCGACCGGTCGCTGCTACACCAACATGCACATGCTCATTATCAAAAATCATGCAAAAACTACCTTTTCTATAAATATTAATGTATCCCAAATATGGTCATCCAAAATCCAAAAGTATCTAAGAGTTGTAGCAACAAAATTACAAAGCATTCAGAAATTGCAAAGCATCATAACGCACAGAATACAAAAACAACTCTTTAACACATTAAAGTAAAAAAAAATTTATTAAAGACTGTTTAATAAGACTTGTCCAAATACGACTAAAGAACACAATAATAACCAAATGCAATAATAAATGTATTACTTCAAAGAGCATTTTTAATTACAAATGTGGTAAAGAGTTGAATAAATACGATTAGAAATTTTGAAAACCTATAAAAAATAAACACAATCTATGAAACTGGGTTACATTAGCTTTTTAGGAAAGTGCAATAGAGTACACGGTATTAAAAAAAATTATTATGATTTTCTGTGAGGTTAAAAAATTCTTATTTCTATTAAACAGTAAGTTGAGAGCAATGTTTACCTTCACCAGGTGATGAAGCTCGCAATGAGCCCTTATGCCCAACAGAGGCTGCGTAAAACGGAAAGCGTAGAGAGAAACGTGAAAGTTTTTCGTGATCATGAAGTCAACGTGTGTTAATGAAACGAAATTCAATACAAAATTTTACCTGGTTTTTCCTCAACCGGAGAAGCTGCGTCGGTGCGATCCGCTTCCGCGGCCGCTTTTTGTTCGGCTTCTAAAGCTGCGCGGCGTTTCTCAGCTTCTTCGGCTTCTCGTTTAGCTTTCTCTTCGGCTTCAGCAGCTTCTTGACGTCGTCTCATCTCACGAAGTTCGAACTAAATAACAAACATTCGATTAATATCGGATCATTGAAACAAATTCAATTTTTTCAGTAAACCATTAACCCTTTAACTACACTTATGTAATTAATCATCTCATTAATAAATATATATAGGATGTTTAGAAATGGTACATCGATCCTGATCTCCCCAGTTGAGAGCGACAGTTACATGGTTTTATAAAGATAAATAGTTAATAATTTTGCAAAGAATGATAGGCATGTGAGGGAGCTGAAAAAAAAATACACAGCATTTTTTCTATTTAAAAGCATTACCGCATTAAAAAAATACAACAAAAATATAATGAACCATTTGCTTCCCATGACCTTTCTGAAGTGCTTGTTTTAAGGAATTTTTTAAGAGTCCCTTTGTTTTATTAATGACTACCATAAATGAAACGTTACAGTAGCAATTAACTTAGTCACGGCTTTGCATTCATGAAACATATAATTTTGCTTTATTCTATTTTGATTGTGAGTTTTGCATAAAAAATGAAGTAAATGTAATCTCTGGCATCAGAGAAAATGCTTTTACGGAGTATAAAATATGGATGCGGTAGATTCTTTTACTCTAACCGATATCTGTAAGAAGTGAAACAGTGATCACTGTCACACAGTCCAATTATGAGGGATTCAGACTAATTCAAGACCTATATCATGAGGATGACAAAGGAAGAATATGTTATGTAGACGATAAACTTAGAGAATGTCACAGAGCAACATAAAATATCAAATAGCGTACTAATTATATTTCAAATTAATACCTTTAACTTCAATAAAATCTTAAGTGTTGGAGAAAATGAAGGTTAAGGTTGGTACAAAAAAAAGAGAGATAGAGAGAGACGCGACCGGTAGAGAAATAGGTTCTTAACAGGTTGACTGCGGAATTGAAAATTGTAGTATTGCACTGTGTGCGGTACCAGTCCTCGAGGACTGGTATTACGTTATTGTTTATTTTTGCTTAACGTGCGATATAAGTTGATATAAATTTTTATGTGTGTTCAGTTAATATTTAACAGGTTGACTGCGTTACCGGTCCCCGGGGACCGGTGGTTTACTTCGTTGGCGTATATTCGAAATTTTTCGCAATTTGCGGAAGTTGTATTTTCGTGAATATGGCTTTCCTTAGAATTTTACATGTACGTTTTGGTTTATTGTTCTGTCTAGAAACTTGTAGGCTATGAAAATGTTTACCGGTCACGGAGGATCGGTAACGCACTGATGTAATACTATATTACTTGTGTGCGGTACCACTCACCCGGGACCGGTGCTGTTTTCATTGTAAAACGTGTTATAACGTGTTGTATAGTGACTCTTCTTTCGTGTGTAACAGAATGTCGTCACGTACAAAGAAAATTTTGGTTTTAGCCAAAAGTAGTATGTGTGTTACTGAACAGGAAAAAAATGTTGATACCGTTGATTATCCTAGCCAGTGTGAAGCACCTAGTTCGTCGAAAAACATTACAACTAATAAACCATCAAATAATGCTATTAGTGATGACGAAAATGATTCTGATATTGATGCATTTGATTCTGATAACACTGATGACTCCGAGTTTCTTGACAAAAACTATGTTCCACCGCCTTCAGACTCTGAAAGTGATGAAAACCGCTCCAACGAAGATGATTGCATGATACACGGAAAATAATAATGTCGTTTTAGATGAAATACCAGTAAAAAATTGTATGGAAAATGAAGAGGAATGGCATAATATAACTAAAGATAACGGTTACGTGTACCAAAGGCAACGATCGTCTACACTAAATTTTGATATCACTACGATAAAAAATCCTAAACACGTGTATCAGTTATTTTTATCAGACGATATAGTAAAAACTATTGTTGAAGAAACAAACAGATGTGCACGTCAAATATTGATAAATCCGAACTCCTCAAAATCTCGACTAAATCTATGGGTTGATTGCGACGAAGCAGAAATAAAACGATATTTTTCAATTATCTTGGTAATGGGGCTGAACGTTCTTCCTGCTTTGAATCTCTATTGGTCAAAGGATTCTATGTTCCGTAACGAGTTTATTTCTAACACGATGTCCCGGGACAAATTTGTCTTGTTAATGCGATGCATACATTTTTGCAATAACGACACTGCTGATAAAAATGATCGACTATATAAAATACGAAGTCTATTAGAAGCAGCAAATAAAAATTTCAAGCAAGTCTTAACACCAGGCAGGGTGATAGTTATTGATGAAAGCATGATTCCTTTTCAAGGCAGGCTGTGTTTTCGACAATATATTCCGAACAAAACACATCCTTACAGAATCAAATTGTACAAATTATGTACCGTGGATGGATATACGAATAATATAATTGTCTATACCGGCAAAAACGTAACATCACCAGAACTAAGCCATTCTGAACAAATAGTGCAACGACCTTTTAGAATGTCTTGAAGATAAACGTGGACATTATCTATATGCTGACAATTTCTACTCCAGCTTGGGTTTAGCAAAGTCGCTATTCAATCATAATGTAATTTACTGTGGAACCCTAAGGTCAAACAGAAAAGGTATACCCAAAAGTTTCCATAGCAAAATGAAAAAAAGTGATATTTAGGATGCACAGAACGGTCCCCTAAAAATTATTAAATAGATGGATAAGCGACCTGTTCTTATGCTGAGCACAGATCCAACACATACCGCAACCTGTATACCTACTGGTAAGCGGACCAGGCAAGGTGATGATATCATAAAACCAAAAGCAGTTTTTCAATACAACAAAGCCAAAAAGGGGGTCGATTTGGGCGACCAAATGTCATCATACCACTCAGTGTTACGCCGAAGTTTGAAATGGTACAGAAAGCTGGCGTTCGAGATTTTATTTGGAACGTTTGTTGTAAACTCATGGATTATACATAATAAAATGCTATGTATGTATTTCTAATAAACTCTATTTAATCTTCTGGTTCTGTTTATTTATATTTTGTGACAATTTCAAAAATTTCAAAAACTTATTTAGGATTGAGTTAAACTAATGCGGTTATAAACATAGGTAGTTGTTGATATCTAGTAACTATACCTCCATTCAGATTGATTAAATGTTCAAAAATGCGCACGTTAAGCAAAAATAAACAATAACGTAATTACCAGTCCTCGAGGCAAAAGAATAAAGATTAGATTGAATACGAGAAGTTACGTGGTTGTAAAAGAGAAGACTAAAAACCTAACCTTAAAAAAACCGCTCGACATCATGACTCAAGTAAATTTACCTATGTTGTCATCCAAATCTTTTGGAAATTGGAGATTCAGAGCAAAGTGTATTTTGGAGGAGAAGATGGTAGATGATGTTTTGTATAAAGATATTAATGAGGAAGTTGATGCAACAAAAAAGGCTGATTTGAAAACAAAAGACGTGAAAGCGAAATCCATAATAGTTCAATGTATAACAGAAAAACATATAGATTTAATTAAAGATTGTTTAACAGCAAAGGATATGATGAAAGTTTTCAAGATGTTTTGGAGAGAAAAAGTGTTATATCAAAATTACATTTAATGGGAAAACTTTTATCGTTAAAACAAGGAAACTTAAATATGGAGGAACATTTTCATAAATTTGATACGATAATAAGGGAAATAGAGAACTTGGGCACAAAAATGAACGAAATTCTTTTACTTACGATTAATGAGAAATACAAGCATGTGATTGACTATGGATTTATAATGACTATGGACTTTGTAAAGTTAAGATTATTGGATAAAGAGTTAAAAGAAGGCAATAAAGAGGATCATATTAATAAGGAAATAGCTTTTAATTCAAGGACTATGAAATGTTTTAGATGCAAAAGACCTGGACATAAAGCGATAAATTGTAGAGTTAGACTTGAAAAAGGAGAAACAACTGATAAAGAATCTAATCAAAATTATAGAGGAAGAGGAAGACCAGGAAATTATCAAAGAGATCGAGGATACCAAGGTAATAGTGCACAAACGGAGAAAGAAATATCATTTGTTGCTTTTAATTGTCTTGAAAATTATGGAAATACTTCGTTTATTGTTGATTCAGGAGCTACAAATCATCTAGTAAGTAATAAATTAATGTCTAATATTGAGAACGTTAACAAATTGAAGAATAAAGTATCAGTAACAATTGCCGATGGTAAAACTTTAAAAGGAACACACAAAGGTATTATTAGAGCAGATTACAAAGGAAAAAGTATTAAAATCGAGGTTATGGTAGTGGATGGTTTACATCAAAACTTATTATCGGTAAGAAGCTTAACGAAGAAAGGATTTTTGGTATCATTCATGGAAAATAAGGTTAAAATCAAGAAAGATAATTTTGAAATATTTGTTAATCAATTGAATGGAGCTTAAATACTCAAGTTACAAATAAGACTGAGGTTGGTTTACACAAGTTTTGTACAAGAAGATAGAAATTTATGGCATAAAAGATTGGGTCACTTAAATGTAAAAGGGTTAAAACTTTTGGGGTTACCATTTAGTGAAGAAAAATGTAGTATTTGTATTGAAGGAAAAGGAACATGATCAAGATTTGATAAACACATAAAGAATTCTAAAAAGGTTGGAGAATTCATTCACTCTGACGTATGTGGACCAATTCACCAACAACAAATGATGGAGAACGATATTTCCAAGTTATTGTTAATGATTTTTCACATTTTACAATAATTAAATTATTAAAATGGTGGTGAATTTAGATCGAGAAAATTACAAAATTTTTGTCAGAACAGAGGAATAGAATTACAGTACCTTATACTCCTCAACAAAATGGTATATCTGAACGAATGAATCGTACCTTGTTAAATAAAGTGAGAACAAAGTTTATAGATTCTGGTTTGCCGAAGCATTTGTGGCGTGAAGCAGTTCGAACCTCAGCTTATGAACTGAATGGTGGAATACTTCCGGAAAAATTATGGTTTGGACAGAATGAATTGGATAAGTTGAGAATTTTTGGAAGTAATTGTTGGATGACAGTCTTACCAAAAGGAAATAAATTGGATGTTAGAGCAAGACCAGCAAGATTTGTACGTTACCATGATGGAGAATACAAAGTGTGGAATGCAATTGAGAGTAAAATACTAGTGACCAGAGTTGTTATTTTTGATGAAAGGAATGTTCAATATATAGAAAATAAATGCGAAGAAGAAGGTAAAGAAAATAAAGAACCAATTATTAAGAAAATAAATGAGAAAACAATAGATGATAATACAGAAGAAAACGATGAAGAAGAGAACGTTGAAAATGAAATGGTAAAAAATGAATCGAGATCTGGTAGACAAGTTAATAAACCAAAATATTTAGATGAATATGAAGTGTACAGTGCCTATTTAACATCAATAGAAGAACCAAGAAATTTCAAAGAAGCTATTCAAAAAGATGGAAAGACACTATAGAAAAAGAAATTAATTCTTTGAAGGAACAAGAAACATGGACTGTAACGGAATTGCCAAAAGAAACAAAACTTATAGACACGAGATGGATATTTACAGAGAAAAGAGATGGTTCAAAGAAAGCCAGATTAGTGGCAAAAGGTTTTCAATACAAGGGAAATTCTGATATAACATTGTATGCACCTGTATCTAGAATGTCATCAAAGACTATTTTTAATAAATGCTTTAAATGATGGTTGGACGATACAACAAGTAGATATTCCATCTGCATTCTTAAATGGAAGATTACAGTCAGATGTGTATATAAAAATACATTAAGGTATTGAAGAGATTCCAGCAAAGTTGAATAAATCACTGTATGGTTTAAAAGAATCACCAAGATGTTGGAACGAAAGATTTAATAGATTTGCATTAGAAAATGGTTTCAAAAGATCAAAAGTGGATTATTGCTTACATACAGGGTGATTCAAAAAACCGCTGACAGACTTCTAGAGTAGATAATACATGAAAAATTAAGATGAATAGTCTTAATATACATGGGGTCGCAAATGCCTCGTTGGCGAGATATAGCGGATCAAAGTTTCTTTAAAATTAAACATCTGCAATAAAAAGCACTTTTTTAAAAAATATTATCTACGCCATTGCTCTCTACGCGTGTAAAGTGATCAATTATCTATCAATTGGTCTCTTACAAAACTTTGATCAAAGCAATAGTTTTTAAGAAAAACACGTTTGTAGAGAATTTGTTAATTCAATCAAAAACTGTTACTTTAATCAAAGTTTTGTAAGAGACCAATTAATAGATAAATGATTACTTTACACGAAAATACTGCCCGTTTGACAAAATTAGCAGTGGAGTTGAAAATATTTTTAAAAAAGGGCTTTTTATTGCAGATAATGTTTAATTTTAAAGAAACTTTGACCCGCTATATCTCGTTAAGGAGGCATTTGCGACACCACGTATATTAAGACTTTTCATCTTAATTTTTGATGTATTACCTCATTACCTGCCCTAGAAGTCTATCAGCGGTTTTTTGAATCAGCCTGTATAAGTGACGATGCATAGATGTTATTATATGAAAACGATATATTATTGACTGGAAGATACGAGAAAGTTCTAGAAAATTTGAAAAGTAAATTTAAGGCAATAGATTTAGGAAAGATAAAAGAATTTTTAGGAATGGAAATTATACAAGAAAAGGACAAAATGTTTATCAAACAATCAAGATACATAGATCAAATTCTGGACAGATATGGTATGAAGGAATGTAAAGGAAAGTTAACTCCCATGATAACTGGTTATTTTAGTGAGGAGAAAGATATTCCATATAGAGAAGTAGTGGGAAGTCTTACGTACATAGCTACATGTACGAGACCTGATATAGCTTTTGCAACATCATTTTTAAGTACAAATGTTAACACACCTACAAAGAGTGACTGGGAAGCTGCAAAAAGAGTTTTGAGATATTTGAAGGAAACGAAAAGTTATTGTATATTTTACAAGAAGGAGAGTGGAGATGTGGTTGATGGATTTACTGATACAGATTGGGCTGGTGATAAATCGGATCGAAAGAGTACCAGTGGTGTAGTAGTGTTTTATGGAACTAATATTGTTACTTGGAACAGTCGTAACAGAGTTGTGTGGCATTATCAACAGCAGAGGCAGAATTTGTAGCAGCAGCAAATGCAGCACAAGAAATTATTTTTGTGAAGAGACTATTAAAAGACTTTAAAGTAAGAATGAAAGAAAATAATTTAATGATTGATAATCAAAGTGCTTTAAGTTTAATTAAAAACTCTGAAAATTCAAAGAGAACAAAACACTTTGATATAAAGTTTAATTTTATTAAAGATTTAGTGTTAAAGAAAGAAATAATAGTTAAATATGTTAATACTGAAGAAAATTAAACGAGAAAATAAAAAAAAAGTGCGATCGTGAGGATGGAGCCCAATATTTCCAAAAGGTGACATTTTAGAGAGAACTTTAATAATAACTAAATAAACCCCAAAACTAAAGTGTTGGGATTTTAATTTGTGTTACGTTCCGTATTTCGTGATCATCATCTTAAACCTAAATTAATTTTTATACACATTTATAAAACATCTTTAAAATATTTCTTTGAAAACAAACAATCGTACTTTTATTACCATAGATAGTGTGTTAGTTAAAGGGAAAATTGTTAAATTGAAAAATTAATTTATTAAATAATTTCGAAAGCGGGTCTACACTCACCTGATCACCTGTTACTTCATTATTTTGAAAGTTACGTCGATTAGCCGATTTACGTTTTCTTAAAATTACCTTTCGAATTAATTCATCATCAAAAGGAATCGAAATATTAACTAAATTGTTTGATAAACCACTCAAAAATAATTTTTCTCTTAAAATAAACGCTTCGGATAATATAATATTTGATTTTGCGGAATTTAAATTGAAAGAAACTTTTGAATCGAAATTCTCATTTAATTTTGAATTTGTAACGATATTTAGACATTCGGTTTGATCCCCGTAAAGGAAGGATTTATTGAAAATATCAGGAGACGTATCGGGATAGTATTTAATAACACCTTTTAATGTGAACAATCGTCGAACGGTAATTCTTGGTTTATAAAATTTATCGACATCTTTAATAATAAATGGGACAAGTTCGGAAGGCGGTCGGAGCGAAAAGCTCCGGTTATAATAATTATTACAAACGGGATAATCGACGCAATCTTTCGGAAAAATTTGCGGAAAGTTTAATTCTATTTTTTGACTTGGAACATGCATCAAGTTAAGAAATGGCCCAGCACCCAAATTAAGTTGTTCTAACTACAAACACATACAAAAGCTTTGTCGTTAAGAGCAATGAAACAATTAAATGAAGTAATAAAAGAACGAAACTTTTTTTCATAACTGCTTATTAATTTTTATTTGACTGTGATACCGAGTTAATTAAATAAGGAAAAATATTTCTTTTGCAAACATTTTTGTCGTCAATTCAACATAATTATACGTATTTAGAGTCTGAAAATATTACTAATCCCTAGAATGTTCTATTACGTCATATCATAACTAAAATGCCCTAATAGTAATACAGTCAAACCTCGATATAACTTATAGGTAAAAGTCTGTTATATGAAATTTTTTTAATTTGCACTTTAAACTGAATGAAATGATTAATTTTAATGCACAGAAATTCGGACAGCTAACCACACCGTTGCGTTCAGTCTACTTGGCATTATTTATACCAACGATGGTAGAAGGCCCGTTCGTGACGTCACGCATAGGTAAGCAACTACTATTTCACACTTTGAATTAACAAATGCTTAATTTATTTTCTTCGTGTTGTGTAATGTTGTTAGTTTGAGACTTAAGATTCATAATATAAAATTAAGATATTGATCGAGTTTAGCTTTTACTTTTCTTTTAACAAAAATATACAACACTAGCGCTGAATAACAATTAAAACTAGAACAATCGTTCTTGATTTATACATCGTATAAACAACTTGGAGAATACCTCGAGTTTATCTATGAACATGGAATAAAGTAACTTGAAGAATAACCTGAGGTGGATTCTATCTAAGAGGCTAACATTTATATTTAAATCTACTAATGTATTAAATAGATAATATTAATAGTATGACTTAAAAATATTTTGTCCATTCTAACGAGGTCCGTTATATCGAGGTTTTAATATATTTTCTGAACGAATAAGTTACAAGCAAAAATTTCAAATATTTAACGCCATTTGATGTCATGATTTCATTCTTTTAATACTTCAGCAAACAGAAAAAGATAAAGTAAACAAGTAACTATCAACATACAACAAATATAATTGTACTTACTGTGGTTAACCTCTCCAAAGCACTGAAGCGTTCTTCTTGGGCTGCCGCGGACTTCTCAAACGCTTCATGTTTCTTGATAAGATTTTCGACGTCATCAATCGAATGTCCCAATTCGGTACTCATAAGGTACGGTTCTTGGGCGATGAGCCATGCTTCAGCAACGGCGGCATCTCTTGCGAATTGATACACTTCCAGGATCAACTGAAGGTTCTCCCAACGTTCTTCCCAACGGTGATGTAAAGCGTTTCTTTGATTACTTAAAACAACAAGCTTCTCGCGGATCTCGGCTGACGCGTAATGATTTCTAGACAATAGTTCGCGACCCAAACTGACGCAAGTTGTAAAATTGTCTTCTCTAGAATCTATTTCGGCTTTCAAACTCTGATGATTGTTCATTAAAGTTTCAACTCCACTGACATCTCTAGGTTTTTCGCCGGTGTTCATTTGACGAATAACATCATCCATCCATTGCATTAGGGTACGAACCAGGTTAAAGAATTTGAATAAATCTCCGGTGTCGGCTAATTTCAGTTTTCGTTGATCGCAATTTGCTTGTAAATTGGCCCAAGCGTTAACAACTTCAGCTTCTCTATTGGTGATCTCGCGGGCTTTGTCTCCCGCATACGCCGCTTGAAGTTTTGCGGATTCTTCTTGGATTTGTTGCACTTGAGATTGTAAAGTTTGAAGATCTTGTAAGAAATTTTGATGTTTTCTTTGAAGAGCTGAAACCGAGCCCGCATCTCTACCGAGTTCATCACTCATCGAAACTTGTTTTTCAAGAATACGTCCCAAAATATCCTTGCAATCGTGGAAGAATTTGTGAAGTTCTCTTGAAGCTGCTAACATCTGCGTTCTTGTTTCGATAAGTTCGAGCAAATCTTGCCATGCTTCGTTCAATTGATCTTTCCATTCCGCTACTACAGCGGAATCCGAATGCCCAGCTTCGATTAATCGATCGGCGATATCATTGACGGATTGAACACGCTCAGTTCCGATAGATTCAGTATCTCTTGCGAACTCTTTAAATCTTTCCCAAAGAAGAGTAACGTGATCGTAATCTTGTCCCAATTCATGCGAGGATGCAACAACTTCTCTATCGGCTATCCATTGTTCCAAATCGCCAACTTCGCGATTCAACAAGAACAATTGAAGAGCTTCATTAAGTTTAGCTCTGCGTTCACCAGCTAAATCTTTCAAACCGGCGTATAATTTGTCAAGCTGAGATTGTTTAACGGCTACTTGTTCGGCGAGTGGGTGTTCTTCAGCAGCTAAAGCACGAACAGTTTCACCTAAAGATCTGATAGTATCCGCGTAAGCTTCTACGGCGGCTTCTTGACTGTCGTGTTTCTTCAATAAATTTCTTGCAGACGTTTCATCTTTTCCACGATCTTCAACCATCATATAGAGTTCTTGTTCGCTCATCCACGCTTCAGCCTCACCTGCATCGAATAAGTACTGCTGAGCTCGTTCATTTCGCAGTAAGTTTTCTTTTCGTTTTTCGATCGCATCTTTCAAATTTTGCCAAGCGCGTGATAATTCGGCAATTAAATTAGAGAATTCATCAGAAGATTCGTGACCTTCATCCACTAATTTCTGTCCGTTATTGCACACGGTACGTATTCTCGGTTCGTGATTATCAATTTCTGTTTTTAATGATTGATTTTTCTTCATTAGCATATGCACATGGAATAAACCGGAACCGTATTCGTCCGAAGTTGCAAGTGGCATCTTTTCGGAAATCCATAATAATTCGTCTTCGACATCGCGTCGAAACTGGAACGCTTCCTTTTTCTTTTCCAATTGACGCTGTCGTTCCAACAGAGGTTGCTTTAATTGTTCGAAACGTTCCTCGACTTTGGTCTTTTTGACTTTGATTTCTTCCATATCTTTGTCGGGCACTTTCTGTTCCAAATGGTGTGTTTGAGATTCCAGCTGGTCAACTTGTCTTGCCTTCACCGCCATTTGGGTTTCAATCATCTGTTGTTTTTGCATCAAGATATTTACGGAAGCCAAATCTTGACCAGTGTCTTCATTTTCGATCTGTTTTTCTAATTCGTTGATCCAACTGTCGATGTCATCACATGTTTGATGGATCAAAACTTCGCGATTAGCATCAAAGAGACGTTCACCTTTATCTTTGGTGGTATCTTCCAGCAAGACAAATTGATCTTGGAGTTCTTTCAATTTCGGCTGGATCATTTGTGCGTATTCTGGTTTATCTCTCGCCAAGTCTTCACCAGCTTGTTGTAAATTAGTCAATCTCTCTTTATTAGAACCGATTTCGGCTTCAAACGCTTGATGTCTGGTCCATTTGGAATGAATTGTTTTTGCGGAACGATAAGTTTCATCTTGTGCGACGATGTGTTTCTCTTGAATCCATTCTGAAAGTTCCTCGCAATCTCTTAAGAACTGCTGAAGTTCCAACAAATCTCTTAATCGATCGGTTAATGCTTGCGCTCGTTCTCTATTGCTTTGTCTGCGTTCATCGATAGCATCAGCTCTTTTAGCGATTTTGTCAGATGCAAAGTGATTTTCGTCGCATAATCTACGGCTAAATTGAACGACCGTGTTGATTTTGTCATCGTTCGCGTCCATGGTGGTTAAGAAAGCTTCGTGTTTCTTTAACAAGTTTTCGGCTTGTTCCAAGGATGTCGGAGTTTCATCTTTATTCAAGGTGTGCTCTTGTTGGCTTAAGATAACTTCAGCTTGACGTGCATCTCTGTTCAACATTTGTAAGCTGAGTGATTGGGAGAGTAGTTGTTGACGATTTTCCCACATTTGTTTAAGTTCAGCCCAGCCATCTTTAAGGGCCTTCAAACGTTCGCGTAAGAACATGTATTGCGGATCATCTTGAGTACCAGGTTCGGCAGTGATTCTTTCCCCGTATTCCATCATCTTTGTATAGTCATCAGTGTAATTATCGATTTCATCTTTGATGTTTTGATGCTGCGACAAAAGCTTTTCGGCTTCGGCCAAAGAACCAGGGGTATCTTCAGAGGCGACATCTGTTTGTGTACGAGTGAGCCAAGCTTGGAAATGATCCAAATCTCTAAGGAAGCGGTGAAGATCCCCGGCTTCTTCCAATTTCGCGTCACGTTCTTTTAACATTTGAGTAAGTTGCTCCCAGATAATTTGAATTTGGGTGATGCGTTCCCGGACAACGGCGGCTTCTTCTGGGTGTTCTTTCTCCATTTCCTGAGCCTCTTTTTCTAATGCCGTTAATTTCGCTTGGATGGCTGCCAAATCGCGTTCCATTCCCGATAAACGTCTCTGTAAAGTCATGATTCCAGTCAAATCCATTTCCAAACTATCCGTACTTTGAAGAATTCTCTTCTTATCTTCAATCCAAGTGACGGTTTCACGGCATTCAATATGGAACGTTTGCACACCATGTGCTTGGTTGAGTTCGTCTTTCTTTGATTCTGCTTTATCGCGAAGCTCGGCCCATTTCTGGTTAAGTTGATTCTGTCTTGCAGTGATTTGTTCCGAATCTGGATGTTCAACGTGAAGTAATTGCCTAGCTAATTGATTGACAACGGCTACTCTGGAAGCGTTCGAGTTCATTTCCTTTTCAAATCCGTCGTAACGGTGTTTCATAATTTCCACATCTTCAATGTCGCGAGCAGGAGTCATCGTCTGAAGCATTCGGTCCTTCTCGCCAATCCATTGCTCAACACCATCACTTTCAGACAGCAATTTGTAAAGAGATAGCGCGTCCAATAATCTCTGTTTACGCAATTTAGCCAATTCTAATAACTCCTTATATCGGCTATCGATTGAAGATAATCTTTTTTGAACTTCCGGCGCATTAGCAAGTTCTGGTCCAAGTTGTTCGGCTTGTTGATGTAATTGATCGATGGTAGAAGAATAATTCTTAAGTTCGTCTGTTACATCGCGATGTTTTTTAAGTAAAGATTGAGCGTTAGCTTCGTCACGTCCCACGTCTTCGCTGGAAACTAACCTCAAGGTATCCAACATCCAAATATCTACGTCATCGGCATCTGCAAATAGTTGATGATAATCGACGGCCTCTTCGAGTCGTTTACGACGATACGCCGTTAATTCTAATAAATGGCGCCAAGCCTCGGATGCTTCTTGAAGTCGCTGCTGAATCTTGTCGGAACCAAAGTGTCCAGATGTTACCAATTCCTCGCCAACGTTCAAAACGGCTTGAAGTTGAGGTTCGTGCGCTTGAATTTCGTTTTCTAAAGCTTTGTGTTTGGCCAATAGCAAATGTACCGTTGTAAGATCATGTCCAATATCAGCTGTGGAAACGATTTGTCCATTTTCCTTAATCCAATTGTCTTCATCTGCCATATCCCAATAAAATTGCCAGAGTTTACGCGACTCTTCTAATCTAGTACGACGTTCAACTGCAAGTCGAACAAGTTCGGCGTAAGCATCTTCTAATTGCTGTACACGATCCAAAACTAACGAAGGATCACACGGTTTGTATCCTTCCAAAATATCTACGTCCAAGAATCGTTGTGATGCTAAAGCAACCGCTTTTACTCTCTCTCCAAGAATATTAATATCTGCTTCAAGAAGATTGTGTTTTTGGAGTAAATCTTCTACACCCATTAAATGTTTTCCATGATCGTCTGTTAATAATCTGCTCTTCAAATCTTCCATTGAATCCAAAATATGAAGCATCTCTTGGAAGGTTTGTTGTAATTGTAAGCTTAATTCTAACCTCATTCTTCTCGCCTTGAGAAGTTCTAATAAGTAATTCCATAATCGTAATACGTTGTCTTTTCTCTGGCTGATTCTTTCCATATCATGGTAATTTTCGGCTGATAATTCTTGAGCCACAGCGACTACAGCTTGTACTCGTTCTTCGTACGCTAAAATATCTGTTTCGATTGCTTCGTGTTTCTTAGCGGCTGCTTCAACGGCAGCTAAATCATGACCAAAGTTGTCTTGCGATACCAATCGCTGGTTCTCACTCAACCAAGTCTCACGCATGCTCGCTTTGCGATTAAATCGGGCGGCAAGTTGTTCAAGTTTTTCTTGACGAATGAGTTCTTCACGCAAGGCGAGTTCTCGTTCGTGTTCTGCTTTTTCAAGACGCTCCCAAGCTTTGTTTATATCAGCAATCATTTTACCTTCTTTTGGCGTGTATACACGCTGGTTGTTTGCGCGCATCTTTGATTGAAGGGTAAACAACAAAATTTCCAAATTACCTTTTTCAACGAATTTTGGTGGTTTTTCTACCGTTCTATAATTACTAAATTGTGATAATTGCTGTTGAACACCTTGTAAACTATTTGCGAATTGGCGATCGCCAAGAGCAGTGATTGTAGCTTCAATCCAAGCCAATAAATCACTGGTTAACGATTCGTATTCTCGAATCATTCGTTCATTATCCATTGCAATTCCGACGACTTTTCCGATACGTTTTCCTTGAACGGTTTCTTGTTTCATCTTACTGAAGTAGTGATAATATGTGACGACGTATGTGATGATCGATTTCTCATCCGGTTGCTCGACGAACACGTCTTCGGCGTCGAGCAATTTGGTGAGATCCAGTTTTTCTTCAGCGATGTTGAACGCATTATTTAAATTGTGAATAGGATTAGCTTTAGTGAGCTTGTCATATTGAATTAAATCGGGGCGATGTTTGTGAATGATAGCATTGAAAGCCAAACCGTCGCGCCACGATGTGGTGAAATTACGAATATTCACATTTTGATAACCGGCAGTTTTCATCTGGCACCATAAAAGCAAAGCATCCTTGGCCGATTTGGTTTCTTTATTATCTGTTTCTTCGATTGTGATGTCTTGTATTTGGAAGCGAAGGATTATGGTCCAAATTAAACCAAGTGATAATCTCGGGTTTCCGTCGACAATGTCATGCGAACCCATGTTTTCTAAATGTACTCTTTGATCGCGAAGGAATTGCAGAGCTTTATCTACGTTTTCTAAACAGTGAATCCGCATTTTTCCTTTTGTCGGTCTCGGTAATCGTTCACCTGAGAGAACTTCAAGCAATTTAATGAGTTGTTTACCATCGCGAAGGTCTAAATAGAGGTCACCGATGCGAGAATTTACACGTACAAGGTGGGAATTAACCCATTTTTGAAACGTTTTTTTCTGTACAGATTCACGTTCGTCTGCCAATGCTTTAATACGCGAGCGTTCAAAGAGGCGTGAAGAGGAATTTCCACCATCGTATTCGTACTCTTCCACGATCTCCTGTTGAAGTGTAGGATCCCAGCGGTTTATACTGATGTCTGTCGTCATGATGATTGATTACTTTGGCCGCAGTGGCCTATCTAAAATTAAAAAAACAACTATTTAAGCATCTTAACTTGAACGAATGTAATAATTAATTCAGTTGAGTTGTAAATGGAATTAAAAAACGAGCGGTGTGTAATGATGACGTAAGATCTAATAAGAGAAACTGCAAACAGAGTGTGAGTTTCAATTACACAACCTGAATATCTCTTTTTTTCTATTTTAGTCGCAGTTTTTTTATATATTTTAGCGTTCAAGGATAACCTGTCCGACTAAAATCGTCCACAGCAATGTTTGGTTTTAGAAAAATTATACTCGGTGCATTTTGCCAAGTTAGTCGAAATCGATATTAGGTTATGACTCGGGCACGGTATATGCGGAAAACCGCAATAGTACTCTTATTACCAGGGAGGTAGTTTTGAAAATAAAATTTTAGAATAGAATAAATTTAAACAATTAAAATTTGAGAGATATTTTTCTGGGTTAACGTATCTTTCTGTGTTTACGATCTATATATAAATAACGAAAATTAGGACGGGCAATGCAAAAATTATTTAAAAATAAACCGTTGGTTTATTTTCAAAATAAATCTCGGTTTCCTTCCTGTTTTCTAACAACAAAACTATAAAGAAATATTTTCGTTTTTCTTATAATAACACATTATGAGCAAAAATCTCGTCAAATCTTATCTCAAACGCACAATTTGTATTTTACGATAACCCCAATAACTCGCAAACATTATTACTTAATAACCTTTTACTCGACAAGCGTGACAATATTAAATAATAATGAAATAAGCCTTACTTTTTCCACTGGATTTTTTTCCGCCGAAAAATCTAACGTTTAACGAACATTGGTTACTTGTCTCCTCGAATTGCCGGTCTACGATGATACATTGAACGACGCCGATTGGAGCGCCGCGTAAAGGTCAAGATTTTGAAATTTTATAAAGGTGCCAGTCTAGACGACACCTCAGAACTATTCGGGCTTCAACTACTATATATACTTTTTTTGAGCACAGATACACACGCGAACTGTTTTGCCCAAAACCGATATCGCTATGCAGCAAGACCCCGAGACGGACGGCGCCTGAACTAACGGGTTCCAACAATCGATTTGCTGAAGTCGACGGCATGGTACGAGGTCCAGAGAACCCACAAAGCCTATGTTAAACTAGGTCAAGCCTGGAATGCCAGAAAATCCAGGGTAACGAACAATAATTCCTATATCTATCGGTAATCATTTTAAAATATTATTTAAAAAAGCAAATTCTTTTTCTTAGTTCCTATCTAATTTTCTAACACTTTAACAGTATCCTCTTAGAAGTTATCGGACATATGTGATTATTATAAATTTGTGATTTTTTTTTATAACTTTCGGGATATAAAAAGTATGACAAAAAAGTATTTTAAAATTTTTCTGGTATACGTTCTTCGATATCTTAAAATGTAGGCGTCAACAGTATCGACGTTGTATGTGCTAACATGAGTAGCAGGTCAATAGTATAGGGAAAACCAGTAGAAAATTCGATTTAAGGAGCATAAATTTTTTAATTTAAAAGTCAGTGTAAAAAAATGTCTTTATAAAAATATATTGTATATACAAAAGCATGATAGGTTCATCGTTTCTAATGTATGTAATGTGCAACTCATATTACAAATCAAAAAATATAAAATTTTATTCGCCGTGACTCTGATAACAATAGAAACATCTTCGTCGTCATATTTTTCTGTGATCCCTAGAATAAAATTAACGTTTTTCTCCTGTGATGCTGATACTATTTCAGTGGGTTTAAGAAATCAAGTTATTAAATGTTGCGTTTATGGTTTAGCTATGTCTTTGACGGAATCTGTTTTGACAAATTTTGGCCAAATCGGTTTCAGCATGCACTCAAAATTGATGGTTTTAAATCATTTAACGCTGATCCTACTTGATTGACACAATCCATTAATGAAAATTTCTTCTAAATATCAACGACTGTTAATGTTGCATCAATCATTTTGTCCACAACATATTGAAATGATCATTTTACGTAATGTTTTAAAAGTCGAGATTATTCCTTGGTCTAGCGGTTGTATCAAGGATATAGAATTAGGTGGCAGAAAAAAAAATGCACATTTGGATGTTCTAAGACCGAAAAAAATTTTAAAGAAATTCGAGACCTTTGACATTCATATACCGTCTAACTTCTGGGACAAAACATTTTTCGAACCATTCAGTAAATACATCAGATGAATCACACAACACATCAGTGGCAATTTTCGCAGCGGTTTCAGAAAGCGATCTCCTGAAGCGTTGTAGCAAAATTTTCCGTGTTTGTGATTATGCTACGGAAATTGCACTTGTCATTCTTTTCAAAAAGAAACCACTCTCATCCGCATTAAAAACTTGATCAAGAGCGTATCCTCCAACTTCAATAGTTTTAGCAAGTTTTTGTGGAACTTCTTTAGCTGCCAATACATCTGCAGATACAGTTTCGGCTTTAGTTTTGGTGTTATTAAGAGCCTTTTGGATCCAGTCATCTATGAGAAAATCAAGGACTCAACCGAGAAGATAGTAAGAAAAATAAAGTAATTGGTGAAAAATACAAAAAAATCTGGTACAACAACAGAGAACTTTGTTTGTACAGGCCCCTGTAACACCAAGAACTTATGGATTACCTAAAATCCGTAAACCGGATTTTCCACTACAACCTATTGTCAGTGTCATAAATTCTCCAACGTATCACCTAGCGAAACACCTTGCCAAGATTATGTCTCCTTTTGCAAGTAAAACAAAATCACAAGTCAGAGATTCCATATATTTTGTGGAATCAATCCAAAGTATGGCGTTGGATCCCCAGAATATTCTGGTAAGTTTTGATGTGGAATCTCTGTTTACTAGAGTACCAGTCACAGATGCCGTGGATGGTCTTTGTCAGAAACTTATCCTGGAAGGCTTACCGAAGTATGTTCCAGGGCTAGCGAAAATTCTACGAGAAATACGAAAGAATCACTTTTCTCACCGGTAATCGCCAATTTCTACATGAAGATGTTTGAAGAAACGTTAAAAAAAATCCGCGAAAATGGCTTCGTTGCGTGCATTACATCTTTGTGATCGGGCACCATACAAATTGATCAGCAAACCATGAAATCAAATTTACCATGAAAACGGAAGCTGTAAAACAAACAGGTGGAGAATTGAACTGGGAATGTATCACAAGAAGGCACTCACGTTCATCTATCTATAGGCTTCGTCCTATCACCATCCACAATGGAAGAGGTCAGTGTACAAGTCTTGTTCCAGCGAACAGAAAGGATATGCGACGAAAAAAATTTAATGAAAGAAGGACTTGTAGAAAATGGATTCCAGAAGAACGGCTACACTCTGAGGGTCACTCTATAGATTTCGATAAGACCCAGGTGCTAGCCAGAGTCGGAAATTATTTCCAAACGAGTACAAGAGATGCGATAAAGATCTAGGATACAGGAAAAATATGAATAGAGAAGACGACTACGAACTTAGCCGCACACGGAAAATGCTATTTAACTAGGCGAAGCCTTCTCAACCCGGATTTGACAACTTAGTTGACAATTAGTTGACTTAGTAACTGCTGTTAATTGATTATTAATTATTTCTTCATGTATATTTTGTCAAAGTCTAACCGATTTCTTCACGTCGAACTTGTTTCTCAAGTAGGTTGCAACATGGCATCCGAAACGTTAGAGACTTTTTCAAAATGTTCGACATGAAATTGATAATTTTGTATAGAACCTACAAGATTTTAAAAAGTAAAAATAACAAGAATTTTTTAAATAAATTTTTGTATGTATTATGGGGTTTATGAAAATCATTAAAAATATTGGTGTCAACGTGAGCACTTAATAAAAGCTGATTCTTCATCTACTAAACACAAAGGTAAATTTAGAAAACAGTTAATCATTATCACTCGTTAAGTTATAATTAGAGTAAATAAAAGTTTATTTCTGGTTATACTTAAGTACATATATTTATTTTTATATTATTGTCTCAACTGCTTTCGGTATTAATCATCATCTGAAGACAAACGATCCGATTCTAGGACACAGGAGATTTAGGTACCGCGAAGCACTGGAATAAGCTCAAAGCCGAAATATCAGAATCGGCAACGCGAACGATACGTAATAAGAAAAAGGAAAACGTGGTGTGGTTCCAGGAAGAGTGCAAAAAAGCCATAGGAGAAAGGAACGAAGCACACACGAAATATATGGAAAGGAGAATAAGAGAAAGAAGGGTTGAACCTTTGAAGAAGCGAGGTGTAAAGCACACAAGATATGTAACAGTAACAGAAAACAGGAAAATAGTAATAGAAAAATAATTTCCAAAGTAATGACTTGAGAACGGCCTATAGACGTATACGTAATCTAAGGGAGGGTTATAAACCACGGACATCTGTAAGAATGCCGAAGGACAGATAACAAGCGACACATAAATGATAAAAACCTACACTTAACACCACACTTTGCTTAGCAGACAAGAGAAGGGAGACGAGAATGAAGTTCTAAGAATGACCCTCCAAGAAACAACAAGATGCCCAGTATTGATAACTTTCCAGCAGAGCTGTAAAAGCTAGGACACTGAACAATACTGGAACATTGCTCCGGCATTGTTTAACTTGGCCCTTGAATACGTCATACGCCAAACGGATGTCGGGAGAACAAACTCACTAATAAATAAATCCGGACAATTAGCAGTCTATGCCGACGATATTAACATCATGTCTAACAGAACATGATGTTATCATCGCTTATTAGACCTATACTGTGCTATGGAGAAAATGGATACGGAGCATACTAATACTAAGGATAGTTACAGAAAAGAGAAAGGAGGAAGTACAGGATGCTAATGAAAAAAGAATGTTTTTTTTAAATACAACAGCAACGAGTAATGAGAGCGAGCAAGAATGGGAAAAAATTCTGAAAACTCTAAAAAAAAAAGCGAATTCTTACCGATACTTTTTCATTTTAAATAATGAAAGAATTCTGGTGTGCAAAATATTTTATTGTGTAAAATTAAGCAT